TTCTCTCTCTCTCCCCATCATTTGTTTTTCTTGTCTATTTAGTTTTATGTCTTTCACAAGATGGACTGTCTCTTACTAGGTTTGTAAATTATCCAGCACAATGGGACACTGATCTCAGGTATTACCATAACATTGATAAATAACATTTGTAGAGGGAAAAAGTCCTTCTAAAAATGTTTTATGAAATATTTTTAAATTGCATCAGCACAGATTTTTCTCCCATCATAGTAATCTGAATTTAGGGTCAGCTCTAAAACAAAGGCCACAACGACAACTAGAGAGTCAACAGTATGCCCTTGTTGCCAAGAAGGCTAACAGCATATTGGGATGCATTAGTAGGACCACTGCCAGCAGATGGAGGAAAGTGATTATTCCCCTCTATTTGGCACTGGTGAGGCCACATCTGGAGTATTGTGTCCAGTTGTTGGCCCTACCGAAAAGATGTGGACAAACTGGAGAGTCCAGAGGAGGGCAACGAAAATGGGGCACATGACTTATGAGGAGAGGCTGAGGGAACTGAGCTTATTTAGTCTGCAGAAGAGAAGAGTAAGGGGGGATTTGACAGCAGCCTTCAACTACCTGAAGCGGGGTTCCAAAGGGAATGGAGCTAGGCTGTTCTTAGTGGTGGCAAATGACAGAACAAGGAGCAATGGTCTCAAGATACAGTGGGGGAGGTCTAGGTTGGATATTAGGAAAACCTATTTCACTAGGAGGGTGGTGAAGCACTGGAATGGGTTACATAGCTGGTGAAATCTCCATCGTTGGAGGTTTTTAAGGCCCGGCTTGACAAAGCCCTGGCTGGGATGGTTTAGTTGGGGTTGGTCCTGCTTTGAGCAGGGGATTGGACTAGATGACCTCCTGAGGTCTCTTCCAACCCTAATATTCTATGATCCAATAGCTTACTTTAATTTTTCAAAGTTCTCTGGCTCCAGACTCCATATTTCTTCAACTTGTGCTCCCCTGCAACCTGAAAGAGCAAAGCTATAGTTTTAACTATCCTAAATTGGAGAGGAAAAAGCCATATATATGTACACACAAAGAAACTTACTTATAACTAAGCCCAGACTTAAGAAAAAAAAGCCTATGACTGATATGGATGAGAGATTAGAGAAAAAGTTGTTTAGTCCAGTTTGCGTAATTTTATAGAGTGAGCACTGTCAAATGAACAGAGTGTCACTGTGTCATTAGATTCCACTGTTTGTGTTGATTTTTCAGTCTTTATTTAAGAAATAACGGGACTGTAAAACCACAAAAGTCAGCAGGAGATATTTTGGGTCAAGTATAATACAAAGTTTGCAGCTTTCTTTTAAAACCATTAATTTATTTCATGTATAAATATATATATTCAATTAGTGTTTGTATTACTTAAGCTATATATTAGTAGTGATACTTATAACCCTTCCACCATAGCAGCACCTTCCATCAGAGGAGGTAACCGTCCTTCACAAACATTACTATAGCATCATATATCCAAAGTAGAATAATTAGCCTCATTTTTTAAAGGAGCAAACTTGTGTCCAAAAAATTTAGTAACTTGTTCATCACAAAGGAAGTGTATGACTAAGCCAAGAAGATAACCCCAGGAACTTCCAGACCTATGCTTTTAGCCACAAAATCTTCCATTTCTAAATTAAGCAGAAGCATGAAAGCAAATCATTGTGGGGGGAGGGGAATCACTGTTTACTGAATAAGAAACAGTCAATTAAATATTTTAATGGAGAACCACAAGAATCTCATAAGGCCACTAATTTTCACTTTGTGACAGAGAGACAGCAATAAGATACTGTAGGTAAAAGCATGTAAAACACTACATAAACATATTAATTTGACTTAATATTCATTCATATTTAACTACTACAAAAATAGTTTTTAAAAAAAAATCAGGTCAGTACAGTCAGGTCCTTGTGAAAGGAGCAAACTAGGCAATCCTGGAGACTAAAGTTCTCAATTTGCCCATAAACCGAGTATCAACACAAGCTTCCTGCACAGCTTGTCAATATGCCTCAGATTTGACGTGGTAGGACCATCTCTAGGAATAAGGATGGTTTAGTCTGCATAGTTCATTTTCAGTCTTTCACTTCACTGATAGTACTGCCAATTGCCAACAAGGCCAATTAAGAGCTGGATTTTTAACCAGGAGACAGAGAACCAATCTTTTTGCATAACATAGTACAACATTCAAACAATCAACAGTCCTCAGATGTGTCTCAAAGTCTTTTGTTTCAATACTCAGGCTTCAAATGAGGATTTGGGTTTCACTCTCATAAAAAAAAAATCCTCCAAGAACTAAAAATGTTTATTGATGGATGTCTGTAGCATCTGAGGATCTAAACCTATTTCAGTGGGAGACTGGAAGAGTGAATAATGAACAGGTTCCATAGAAGACAAATTGTTAAATTATCCCTCGGGGAGGAGGTTGCATATACACAGTTTGATAATGCTCTTGCTCCACATATCAGACACACGGCCAGTACAATTCATGAAACACAGGCAACTGAATGGCTTTCAAATTTGATCATTTAAATTGATCAATTTTGACACTGACACAAATGTAAAAACAAAACATGCTTTATCCCATTACCAGTCTTTTGCATCATCCAGTTGTCAAATTATATTAATTCCTTCCTCATTAGCTACAGAAGAAATTAAATTAGCCATCACAAGAGTTTACAGAATCAGACTATGTAAAATAGAGTTTGAGAAGTTTTCCAGAGATGTACAAGCTGGAAAACTAGATTTACTAGCCAGATGAAGATACAAAGGATGGGGTGGGACAGGCTTTACTGGTGAGGTCCAGGAGCAAACCTTTGGTGAGAAATTCAGCGCTTCCTGCAATCAACACATGCTGGGAAGTATGCTGAAATTTCTTCCAAGGTGTCTGAGTATCTTGGTATGAGGAAACTTCATATCAGCTTCTGGCTAGTTCATGTGATAAACCTTAGCTCCACGTCCCTCTAGAATTCTTCCTCTTTCCAGAAGATACAGCACTCTTGAGGGGCACCTCCTTACAGCTGCCTAAAGACTAGGATCATATATCTCCACTATTTTACCCCTTGTAGGCTTTCTGGACTGCAGGAAAGTCTCTGCTATTCTACCACTCTCCCCCATTGCCTCCCCGCAAAAAATTATGAATAATTACAGTGCCTGACTCTTAGCTTTCACAAACAGCAGCAGCATGAAATTAATATGATTTGACAATTTCAGGGCTGCCAAAATGATTCTCAGCAGTAACAGTTTTACTGCCCAGAAATGTGTTAATCTCATTTGAGTTGTGCTGCTTCACAAAGCTACAAGCAAAAGACGACACGCTGGATCTGTGTCTGAAGACTCCAGCATAGGAACACTACAACGGTTTATAATTCACATTTCATCTTCACAGCCATGAAGGATGGAAACTTTTTATTTTAAAAAAAGAAAAAAGTTTATGGCTTGCAAAAATGGATGGCTTAAGTGCCCACACTCGTGTCACTACCAAGGTATTTTTGCAAGCCCTGGTGTAAAATGTCAGACTTATTCATGGGTCAGGTAAGTGAAGAAGAAAAGGCAGAGCAGGTAAGAAACGTGCTTAGAACTATATGTCAAGATAGTCTAGTAAAGGACTCTAATCTACTATGTGGACCTGGATACACAATTTAGCTTCTTTGGGCCAAATTCTACATTGATTAACAATCCATACAATCCCAATAGTGCCAATTGTATTGTATGTGGTGTAAATCAAGGCAGCACTTGGTCCTCTATAACTCAGTGTCCAAAGTTGTAAAATTAAGATATTATGTACCTACCTCACACAAGTTTTCTGAGTACTAGTTACCAGTTATGAAATACTTGGAAGACACAAGTGTGCTATGTAAGTACTACATCTTAAATGCAACATACTGAGCTAAAAGAAACCTCTCACATCAGAAGGCACATGCTCATGCAAACCTGTATACAGGTTTGTTCATTCAGGATTTTTCTTTTTAAGTTACTCTCAAAATGCTGATGTGTACACCCTGGCCAGGGCTCACTGCAGCTATTGAGCTGTGTGCGCGCCTCAAAGGTCTTTCTCAAAGAAACAGCATTAGTTCAGTGCTTGAGGGCCGCAGCTGCCCCATAACCACCACGCAGTCCCATTTTCAAGCACAAATGGGGCCCCACTGGGTTTCAGGGGAGCTGAACAGTGCTGCAGGCTGGGATGTGTCGAGGCAGGCTGAAACGTAGAAGGAGCGGAGCGGGCCGTGGCTTCCCCTGCAAAGAGCTAGCCCTGGAGAGGCTGAGCAGGTGCTGGGCACTGCACCCTCCCAGCGGAGGGGGACGGCTGGGAGATTTGGGCATCTCTCCTTCCGATCCCACCAGAGCAAAAGCGCCGCCTCAGCCCATCTGCACCTGCTAGAGGTAGGGGGTGTCGCACCCCAGCAACGCCGCTGAAGAGGCTCGGGGTGAAGTTCAGGCAGGTCCCGAACGACGCGCCACCCCCGTCCCGCAAGAGGCGGAGGGGCAGCTGCAGGCCTCAAGAGTGCCCGCCCGCCCCCTGCCCAGACACCAGTCCCAGCCCCCTGCCCGGGCCCCGCTCGACCCCTCACCAAAGCCCTTGATGAGCTCCGTGAAGACGCCCGGGTCGCTCTCCATCAGGCACCACTCCCCGGCGCTGCCTCCTCCCGACATGGTGGCGGGTCCCAGGCTCTCACGGAGCAGCCGCTGCCACCAGCCGCCGGCTGAGGCTCTCTGCACGCCCCCACGCACGCCGCCGCTTCCTTCCCGGCAGGCTCCGCGGCCCACGCTGTCATCTCTATGGTGAAGTGAGGGCGAGCTCGGCCCGGACGGAAAGCGAGCAGCTAGACTACATCCGGGATACTACTTCCAGTCACGGAAGCGGCCTCAGCTTACCCGCTGAGGGGGATCCGGGTCCTCCGCCGCTGTGCCTGATGGGAGCGGGCCATCCGGGTCTTTGGAGAGGGAACTAATGGGAGGCGCGACGGAGAAGTTTATCCGGGTCCCAATGCTCCGCCTTTCCCTGCCCAGCCAGCCGCTGTTCAGGATGCTGAAACGGGGAACTACATCCGCGGTCGCTAGTCCCCGGGGGACGGGGGGAGGATAGGCGGAGCGGTTCCATCCGGGGCCTCGGAGCTTGGTCACTGTGGGAAGGGAAGGAAGAGCGGCTCCATCCGGGTCTTAGCGATGCTGTCCTGACAGGAATCCGACCAGGGAGGGGCTGACTTCGAGGGAAGCCTGCTGCGCGAGGAGAAACAGAGCCGGCCGCGGGCAGATTGCGGAAGCCTTGGCGGAGCCGCCACCTCCTGCTGCGCTCGGTCCCCGGCTCACGCGCGCAGGTAGGGCCCGGCCCCGCTTGAGCAACAACAGCCGCCGTCTCCGCCGAGCGTCCCGTGCAACGCCACTGGTCCGAGCTGCAGGCAGGGCCTCCCTTGGGCAGCGGCCTAGCCACACACCTTTCACGCCCTCTTAAGGATCGCCCCTCCCGACGGCCTTGCCCCTGCCAGAGGCACCGAGAGCCGTCCGTCTTCTTAAGGCTGGGTGTGGAGACTTTCTGCGAGCGGAGGCCTCTCCTGCTTTCGCCACCCCCTCGGTGAGGAGAGGCCCGGGAGCGGCTGGGGGAAGCAGGGGTAGGCGCTGGGGTGGAGCGTTTCGCTCGCTGCTGCTATTCCCAATGGGGGGAGGGCGTGCGAACGACCAGTGTTAGTGGGTTGGCAGAACAGCTCTCTGCGGGAAGGGGCGCCTAGTAAACCCCCCAGGACAGGTGCCCGAGATCTCTTGTATAAGGGAAGGGTAGAAAAAGCTACAGAGGGGGAGGCGCACACACAGCGCGCAGGGCACTGGTGTTCGTGGTCCAGGTGTTCTGGGATACTGGAATTTGTTTCCCGCAGTCTTTTTCGTTAAGATACCGCAAAAAGTCATACAAAGGGTTGAAAGCAAGATGTGGTCCGTACAGCCCTTTGAAGAATGGTTTCTTGGTAAAAATAAAATCACATTTGAAGAATAAAATTTTGGGTTGCTATAAAAAGTGAATGTGCAGGTCTTATAGAAGAGGATGCTTGCCAGACAATTTTTTTCCCCTTGTCCCTAGCTTGGATACTCTTTTCACAGATTTTCTTTCCATATATTGTGGACCACGTGTCATCTTTATAACTCTCTATAAATCAGACTAAAGAGTGATAGAGGGAGGGAGAGGCAGTGTAGACTACTGTGAAGAGCAATGGACTGGGACTCAGGAAATTCGAGATTCAGATTCCAAGCTCTGCTGCTGGGTGACCTTGGGCAGTCACTTCATCTCCCACTGCCTTCATTTCCCCATCTTTAAAATGGAAATGGGAGTCTGCAAGTGAAAAATGCTATATCTAAACTAGAAATTAATATTATCAAACCCCATTTCCTTGTCAAAGATTCTGTGCCAATCTTCCTTTAAGAGAGAGGCCATATTATTTTTTATAGGAACATAGGAGTTGCTTTATTCAATCAAACCAGTGGTTTAGCTAGGCCATTGTTCTCCATGTGACAGCAGTTGTTAGCAGATGTGCAAGAACTGTGAAGCAGGCAACTATGAAACAAACTGTTAATGGGAAGTTTCTTATTAATCCCCTCAGAAGAAAGCTTATGTCCTGAAGCATTAGTGGTCTATATTGCTCTAAAGCTGTGGGTTTTTTGAGTGCTTTTTTAAAAAAAATCCCATCTAATTTGACAGTGAATATTCTCAGTATTTATATAAATATCTAATCCTTTTTTGAATTTTGAATCCTTCTAAGCTGTTGGTCTCTATATTAGTATTAACATTTTTAAAAGACTGCAAATGGATACAGTTCTTTACAGAACAGAAAAAGATATAGCCTCAAAGGGCTTACAAATATAAATATACAAATCATAGTAGATTTCCAGTCCAGTGTTTTTTATAATTTAGCCAACATAAAACCAAAGTTTAATTTCAAATTGACTTGTAAGTGTTGTATTTCATTTGCAATTCAAATACCTGTTAAATGTAGCAATTTGTTAAAATTAGGTTGGAACCTGTAGTTTTATTACAGCTTTTCTTTAAATGTGTTTTTTATGTAAACCTTTAAAATTTGGATTAATTATGTGAGACTTTGCTTTTTAAACCACTTTTATGTACTTGTATAGCACAAATGAACAAATTCAGTGTAGTTGCAACTGATACAGCTGTAGTGATTCTGAGACAGTTATTCGCTGTGGTCTTGTGGGAAATGGTGATTCAGAATGTTATGCTTATAAGAAGCATACGGAATTTTTTTTTAAAGGGAATAAGGCAATACGCCTTTAAGCGTTAACATCAGTATATGCTTTTATTTACACAGACACACAGTTTTGCAGCTAGATTGTATAGTTACCAGTTTTTAGTGTTGCTTTGTCAGTTCCAGTGGCCAGCTGAAATTGCACAGGAGGGAGGGGAGCCAGGCCTTTGTTGAACGCCTTCGAAGCTTTGATGTTGATGCAGAATGAACCCAAAGTCCCATGGCAATACACCCTTTTTTTTTTATAAGAAGAAGTTTTATTACAAGTCTTTGGACCTTGCTGTGTTACACTGGAGCTGTTAATTACAAGGTAGTTAAGGTTGCTATTAATTAGCATTATTTGGGTTGTTACTGGGACTATTTGCAGCTGATTTTTTTATTTTTATTTTTTTTCTTTTTGCTTTATTTTTTATTTTGTTTTTGGGGTGTATGCCTTTGCTTTGAGGTCGTCAATTTGCCACCTGGGTGATTCTGATGATAAAGCTGATGCCTCTCTACTCCTTCACTCCCTTCTTGACTGTTTGGTCCAGCTGTCTTTTTTTAATTAATTATCACACTTTTTTTACTTACATACCAAACAGTAAATAAGGCAGTAATTACAGCCATAAAACTTTTATACTTTTAAGAACAATTATTAACACAATTAGGAAAGAATAAACTTAGAACAATTTCTTCTTACTAATTTAAGGAGTACATTTTATTTTTTTTATTTTTACTAATTTGAAGCTAGCAAAATGGAGTATAAAGCAAAATAGAGTACAATTTACTTAAGACAGTTTTTCCCTATTAGGATTTTGGCCTACCAGAATGTTGCACTCTGTATTCCTGAGAGAATTCTGCGCCTAAAAATTATGCACACAATATTTTAAAATTCTGCAAATTGTATTTGTCAGTAAATAAATGTGGCTCCAGCATGGCAGTGGGGAGCACAGGGCACTGGCTGCATTGAGATGGGAGATCACCCTGAAGCCCCCACCTCCCCCAGCATAGAGACTCGGCAGTGAGGCTGCAGCTGACCCTGACGCAGTGCAAGGACTGGCCCTGCCCCAGAAACACCCCCAACGCCCTGCCTCTCTGTGCCAGGTGCACCAGGTGTGCATGAGCAGGCTCAGCCCAGCAGTATCCAAGTGTGGGGGGATCCGGGTGTGGGGTGAGAGGTTTCTGTGTGGGGTAATCTGGGTGTGGGCAGCTCAGTGGGACACCTGAATGCACACAGGCTCATTGGGGGGGTTCCGGGGCAGGAGCAATGGGAATCTGCAGGGGATGCAGTTGAAGGTGGTTGGGGCTGGTAGGGGAGGGGCGGCACTGGGTGTGGGGAGATAGGGCTCAGCACGGGGGTCTGGGTGTGGGAGGCTTGGGGTGGATCTGGGTGCTGGGGGAGTGGCACTTGATGGGGTGGGGGTCCAGGTGCAGTTGGTTGGGGCTCAGTGGGGTGGGGGTCTGGGTGTGGGGGGTTTGTCGGAGGGGTTCAGGTGTAGTGGGGTGTGGCTTGTCAGGGTGAGGGTTCGATGGACCTCCTTAACGGGGGAGCCCCAGCTACCGCCGAGGGGATGCCGCATGCCAAGCTCCCACTTCCCCCTGCAATTCCGCTATCCCCTTTTCTTCTCCATCTTCCTCTGCTCGCTCCCACATTCCCCTCCCCCTGCCCTATTCCACCCCCCCTTTCTTCCCCACTGCCTCTTCCACCCAGCCCCACTGCAGGCACTCATTGTTGTACAGAATAGAAAACAGGAAGCCTCCCAGCACACAGAAGGGGAGCACAACTGTCACTAGGACCCAGGAGGCGGCGTTGAGCTGCAGAATCAGTAGAGCAGAGACACAGCCTCCTTCAGCTGGGCAGCTCTGCACTTGCAGAATGAGGGGGGGCAAAGGCATGTAACCCCCTGTGCACCCCCATGCCCCATCTCTGTTTGGAAGGGAGGGCAATCCTCTAATGGTTGCCCTCTTACCCCCCCTCCCCCCCAGCACAGTTTCGTTTGCTTCCCTGCCGTTTTCCATAGGGAAACACAGGAGATCCGCGGGAGAGGTGGGTATTTTTGGCAGGTACACAGTCCCACAGAATTTCCCCAGGAGTAACTCTGAGTCAATGCTGAACTCCTCTATGGCATTAGGGAGCACAGTTCTCTGTTGGAAGGGGACTGTATTTCTAATGAGGCTTACAGCTGATAATTTGGTTCTTCAAAAATCACATGGTAGTTTTTGTAGAAATATTAACTTGTATGGGTGATGTGCAGGACATACATTCCACTTGTTTAATTGCAGAATGTAAAAATAACCAAACATACAGCTCTAAGGATTTGACTACACAGGATATTACTGCAGGGCAAGACAGGGTGTGACTACAATGCAGTAGCTTGCTGCACAGCCGTGGCCCACCTATAGGCGTTACAGTACTATAGTGCGCTAAAAATTCTTTAGTGTGCTTTTAGGTAAGATGATGATAGGTGTCTGTGCAATCATCAGGAATAGAACGTATATTAGAGTTTTAAGTTTTGTAATGCTTGTATTCTGTAATTGAAATTATATACCAATAAACAAAAATTTAAGAGAATAAATGTTTCCTTCCTAAATTTCAGTAGGATTGGATATTGTTCTTCACTTTGTATCCTAAGCTGCGATGTAGTGTCTCCATGCACTGTTTAATAGCTACTGGGTTCCATCCCAGATAAGGCCATAGGTGGATGAAATTGTATGTAGTTTGAAAATGAGATTTATAAATTCCTTTAGGAACTTTCTGTATAAAAGGTACTATATATGCCTGTAAGTCTTCACAGTGGATAAAATTATGCTCTGTAAATAAGGAAGGTTCATGTACATGTTTTAAAAAAATACAAAAGACTAAAAATAACAATATGTACCAATAACATTGAAAAATCATTAAAATTTAATGTGATCAGTGTAAATCATGATTTTAAAATGTTTAAATTAGTTTTTAAAAATTTGAATCAATATTTTAATTGAAATTAAGTTTTAACTTCATGTTTTTAGTTTGCATCATCAGCATCTATTCCTAATCTTTCTGCTATTGGCAGGAATCGTACATTCTTGAGCCTACAAGTCCTGCTAATAATCACTTGGTAGCCAAGATGAGTACCTGTGAGTATTATTTGGCTCAGTAAGTGTGGTTTTTCTTGTTACAAAGTAGCTATCCCAACATAGTAGGACTTGCATTGATGTTGGTGTCAGAGTAACTAAGGTGGTAGAATTCTTGACTTGAGCCAGAATGTCATTGCTTTGAGTCTTGCACCAAGACTTGGATTCAAATGCAGTCCAATAGTAAAGAGAGAAGTAAAGTCCTTTAAAATGAAATATTAAATGGACACTTGCCAGTATCTTTGGCTGTCCAAGAGGAAATTCGTGATTATGATACTTAACTTTTATTTTTTAAATTAAAAATAATGGATAATCTGTTTGTATTGATATTTGGATGGCCAGAGCTATGTGCAAGTGGTTGCTGAGCATATATTATTAAATTTGACCAAAGAGTCACTGCACTACTAGCATCTAATTGTTTTGGAATAGATAAATTGAGTGGGAAAGGTGCTATTTATATTTCTGGGGGAATTCTGTGCCAAAAATTTAAAAGCTTGGTTATGAATTTGAAGGGTTGTTGGGTATGGTTGGGAAAAGTATGGAACAGGGTTTTTTTGGTGCAGGGAGGGATTCTTAGGGAGCATCCCTCATGCAGACCCTGGCTGACCCCTAGCCTCTCCCATTCAGTCAGGCACATCTGCCCCTCTCCCTAAGTGTCCTTGCACTCCCCTGTCTACATTTGTCCCTTCTTCCCCACTCAGGCACCCTCTTCCCCCCATCCACATGTGTCCCTGCACTTCCTCTCAGCCACCCCACTTCCCCTGTCTCTATATGGCCCTGCACCCTGACTTCCATTTAGCCCCTGGCTCAATGTGTCACCCCACTAGCTCTTGTGCCCCCACCCCAGTCTGTCCCCCACTAGCCCTTCTGAACCCCAGTCTGCTACTCCCCCAGCAGCCCCGTATGCCCTGCTCCATCTGTCCCTTATGGCCTGTGCCTCTTCACCTGGCCCTGCAGCAGGGTACTGTGAGATGGTATACATTGCCCCTCCCTCTCCACGGCTGCTCTGGCTCAGAGGCGGCTGCCCTCTCTTCTGGTGCCACAGCAGCCCCTGGTGGGCAAAAAGGTGACCAAATAAATTTGTTAGTCTCGAAGGTGCCACAAGGATTGCTGATACAGACTAACACTGCTACCCCTCTGAAACCTGCCCAAGAGGAAAATCTGCAAAAGCCACCTGAAGGGAAGGGAAGGCAAGGCAAGGCGGGGGGCGGGTGGAGTCCAGACTGAGACAGGGGTTCAGTCTGAAAAGGAATATAACTGGAACTCTGAACCACAGAAACTTTGCAACCTGCCTGCAACAATATCTAGGGTGAGAAATACTATTTGTAACCAATTTCTTTAGTGAAACTAGCTTAGTTTGTGTGTTTGATTTCATTTGCTGAGTAATCTGCTTTGTTCTGTTTTACCACTTAAAATCTGCCTTTTATAGTTAATAAAATTTGTTTTGTTTATTATTAAACCCAGTTTCCGTAATTTCTAATTGTGGAGGCAAGAAGTGTGCACACCTCTTTCCACGCTCGGGGGAGGGGAGCAAATTTCACTATATATCTTTAGATCTGCATTCCAAGGGAGGTGGACATCTGAGTGCTGGAGCAAGTCCCTTAAACTGAATCTTCCTAGAGCTGATCTGCAGCTGGGTGTGGCCCTGCCTTTGTGTGAATTAGAGGAGGCTTTAATAACCGGGCTCAGCAAGACAGGTTAAAGGGGGCCTATGCTGCAGAACAGGTAGATTCAGTAGTGTCTCCGCCCATCAGGTGGCTTCCCAAGGGGTCCAACCCATCACAATACAGAATTACAGAAAAGTGCAGGTACTTACAACACAGGGTAAAATCACCCCATAGATTTCACACACAGGATTCTGATTACTGAGAGTCACAATCTCTTTCACATCCCATTTGTATTATTACTGAGATGTTCAGGTTAGTGTTCTATACCAAAATCTTTCTACATTTGGAAGAAAATCTTTGTAGTTAGTTAATTGACTCTATTAATCTCTTGTGTAACACTTGACTTCAAAGATTAATGTAGCCCAGTATTTTGAAAGTATGATGTAACTATAGCTGCCATATGGCAAAGCATACTACTTCATACATGTTGGAATATCATGTGTTTCAGATATCAAAACACTTTTTGTTGCAAAACAATTAGATGCACCCAATTTAGCTAACACTTGGTATTTTCAGGGTATCTGGCGTGTCTCAGAAGTCAGTGTGTGTTTTAAAATTAGAGTTTGGTTGCAAGCAGTTTTTGAATGGAGAGCTGTTGACCTTTAAAAGAAAGTTGCACATATTTGCTTTGAAAACTCACAGTGAGAAATACTTCTTGGAAATTTTATATGAAAATAAAAGATGAATAAAATTACCATTCCTAATCCAGTTGCTGGCACCTCACTGCTTCAGAAAAAAACTCTATCAGAGTAGGGATACAATGAGTCCGCAACTCTTTCTTTAACTCTTTCCCTTGAAATTCCTGGATAGGGTGTGTGTATATCTCATCGCATGTAGGGGGTAGAATACTGGCTCTCTTCAGTCTGTGAGATGTCTATCCAAAGTAGGAATAGAATTAATAAATGTTGATTATGTTTTTAACTAAAATGCTTTTAAACACTAATAGAGTTTAACACCTGTAAAAATGTGTGAGCTAGTCATGATTAGTTACCACAGGATGTGACAGTGCCTCATCTTTTTTTACTCCCAAAAGAATAGGTCTGTGATCTTCTGTACTTAAAATTGATGCAGCAAAGTACTTTGCAGAGAAGCTAATATATTTGTTCTTTTCTGTTGCTCCTTTTACTCTCTAGTAATCGAGAAGATACTCTGACACTCAAAGGATTGTTCTTTCTGATACTTAGTAGCCCAAGACATAACATGCAAGTTCTATATCTTCAAATTTCCTCTTAGGTCTTCTAATTTCCACCTTATGTTTCATTTGTTATGATATATGATTCTTTCTTTTGGCTATACTACAACTGGATTTTTACTTCTCAAAAAATAACTTTTTACCTTAAGTTTAACCATATACATTTTATGGCCTTGCATCTTATTTTGGTTAGGAATAAGAATATGGTATGCCTACAGATGACATTATGTTAGTTCTCTGTGTAGCAGTGTGTAAACAAGACCTGAAAGGTTTGGGATGTATTTTGTTTCTCTTTCTCTCTTTGCTTGTGAGCTTTCTCAGTTTGCATCTGAAAGGACAAGAGTGTTTGAATCTTTATTAAAGATGGAATTTGTCTTTGTTATTTGTCAGGTGTTTCATTTAAATAGATGATAACCAAAATAAACAAAATACACAGTTTTTTTTGTTTTGTTTTTAAGTCTAGGACTCTCTAGCATTCTGAGTTGCTCAAGTTTCCTACCTTTATCAAATGCAGTGTCTTCATTCAGCCTTCCAGCAAATAATGGGGGGGACAAGATATGATAAATTTTAATTAAAAAAAAATCTTTTATAACCAAAAGAGCACAAACACCCTCCTTCCCTTGGCAGGTCACCTTTAACTAGCCTGTATGCTGATTCTAAGGAATTTAAATTTTCATCTTTGGGATTAAGTTTCTTTCTAATTAGCTTGAATTTAAAAAAATCCCCCTTCATAAAGTTTAGTATCATTTTGCTAGTTTTAGGTACAACCTGTCCCACAGAAATTCAGGACCTAGCTGCTCTGGAAGACTTTCCTGCCTGGAGAACTAGTAAAATGCTGACATCACTCAGAAAAGGGTTTTTAGTCAGACTGCTTATGGCTTTTTTTTTTTTTAATCAACAACTTCAGTGACTAACATTTTGGATAAAGAATGTATTTGAATATTGAGTACTTCTGCCCCTTCAGTTAAGCTGTTAGAGCTCACAATAAAAATGCTTTGAGACCACCAGCAAACTCGGGGGAAATTAAAACCAAACTTGATATCCCTGTTTGAAGCAAACCCTTTTCACAACTTGTTTATATGTTATATCAAAGCCAAAGAGGGCATAAACCCAATTTTTAAATATGTTCCTTGAAGATGCCCTTTAGTAACTTAAGCGCTTACTGGACTATGTTATTGCTGTTCTGAACTATGTTTAATGTAAATCTAGAAGGGGCAAGGGGAGAAGGCATTACAGATATGATGTACTCATTTGGCTACAGATGTAAGAGGAGGAAATGTTACAAGCCAAAAAATCCAATATAGTTCAACATTTATTTGTAGTAAAATTGTACTCTTTCTTTTTTAACAGGCTTCCTGAAACTCTTAAGCAATGGATGAAGACGCAAATCAAATGCAGCCCTTGAATGACAAGCAGGTGCTGAACTCGGAAGGTGGATATGTATGGCAGGTCACAGATATGAATCGACTCCACCGTTTCTTATGTTTTGGTTCAGAAGGTGGTACTTACTACATCAAGGAGCAGAAACTGGGCTTTGAAAATGCTGAAGTTTTAATAAGACTGATTGAAGATGGCAAAGGTTGTGATGTGGTACAGGAAATAAAGACGTTCAGCCAAGAAGGCAGGGCAGCAAAACAGGAGCCCATGCTTTTTGCTCTTGCAATTTGTTCACAGTGCTCTGATGCAAAAACAAAACAAGCAGCATTTAAGGCTGTTTCTGAAGTCTGCCGCATACCAACTCATCTGTTTACTTTCATCCAGTTTAAAAAGGATCTGAAGGTGGGCATGAAGTGTGGCATGTGGGGCCGTGCCCTGAGGAAAGCTGTTGCAGACTGGTACAATGGAAAGAATGGCCTGGCTGTTGCTTTAGCAGTTACAAAATATAAACAAAGAAATGGTTGGTCTCATAAAGATCTGCTGAGGTTGTCCCACCTAAAACCTGCCAGTGAAGGTAACAGTAATGTTTTATTGACCTTGAGATTGGACTAGTTAAGAAAATATGATATATCAGATATTATATTAAACCTTTCATTTCTAGCATACGTCTGTCCTGGAAGTTTAAAGGTCTTGATGGAGTAGTGGTCTCTCAGCATCCATGTATCCTGTAGGTTAAACTTTAGAAATAATACAGAAGCTGATAGCTTGAAAATATGGTCTGTTTATCTTGACTCTTTAAGAATAAATGTGGTCTTTGGTTATTTTTTGTGACTCCTGTCAAGAGATGGCTGAATAATTCTTTCAAATCATTTAGTTATTTTTTTTTCCCCAGAAGTTGGCAAATACATTTATTTTTTCATTATTCAACCAGATCTGTTGTTTCCTCATTATTTTTGACCTTCGGTCACAGTTTTATTTTTCTCCTCAAATATAATCTATTTTTATATCTTAAAAAATGCAGATTACTTCAAAATGTTTTAATGCTTTGTAGTGTGTTGGGGTAACTGAAATATTTATACATAGCACATTGACAGTCATCTTTTCATTAAATGTTCTGACTAGTTTTATCCCCTTATTTTTCACAACACTGTTCTTGCTGTGGCACAGGGTAGGGGAAAAAACATTGTAAAGAAAACTACCTGTATTAAGTTTCAGCCTTCCAAAGGGAGATGACACAGTGAATAAAATAAAATAAATCTTGGAAAGTATTCTGAATTGTGCAGCCTAATGTATATGACTGTAGTGTTCTAACTTAGACCCACTCTATTGGTAGCTGGCTAGCAGTTCTGGGAATGAAACCATAGTTAAAAGCATCCTTCTAATCAACTCTCCTGCCAGACTTACTGAACTCTCTGATACCTGGGTCATAATCCTGAATGGAAAATATTTTTGTCTTTTCATAGGACTTGCTGTAGTTACTAAGTATATCACCAAGGGGTGGAAGGAAGTCCAGGAGGCATATAAAGACAAGGAATTTTCTTCTGAGACTGAAAAATTGTTAAAATATCTGGAGGCTGTGGAGAAAGTGAAACACACGAAAGATGAATTGGAAGTTATTCATTTGATAGAAGAGTATAGGTTAGTTAGGGAGCATCTCCAGACAAACCATTTGAAATCTAAAGAGGTGGGTATGTGTATGTAAATATTAACATCTTGCATCAAATGACTAGTGTCCTTCTAAAATTCGTCTTGTATATCTTGACAAGTTTGGATTGCTGAAAATGTATTTTTATCCAAATGGAACTCTTAAAGCGAGTTTTAAAACATTAATAAGTAGTTAATCAACATGATGAAGTTCTCTGTATAATTCTGACACTTTAAAATACATTGTTTGCATATTTTGCTTGATGTTTTGTGTATACGAGAGACAGTCTCTCATCAAATTAAAATATTATCTTTTTCCCCCCTTTCCATATATTACTGTAACAGGTGTGGAAGGCATTGTTGCAGGAGATGCCCATTACAGCAATGTTGAGGAACCTAGGAAAGATGACTGCAAATTCAGTACTTGAACCAGCAAGCCCAGAAGTAGCAATAGTGTGTGAAAGACTGAGAAATGAGAAATTGTTAAAAAAGGTAAGAACTGTTTTCACTACTCAGTGCTTTTACTTCTGATATGATTCTCTTCCTAAATTGCATTTCTTAAAAACTTCAGAAGTGTATGTATTTTCTTTGATGAAAAATGTTTAGGTGTGCTTTGACATAGTTAAATCCAATCACATACAATAATTGCTAATCAAAGATAACCTTTTTATGTGAAAGTTCTTTCTTACTACTCTGCAGTTGACTCTGCTTTGCTTATGAACCCGGATTCAGGAAAGCACTTGAGCATGTAGTTAACTTTAAGTATTTGACTAAGTGTTTTCCTGAGTTGGAGCCATGGAGAATTTCATTTGCTGGTCTCATGCATTAATGTTATAACTTAAGCATTCTCATGCACTGCTTTAGTAATCAATTGAACATGATTTTCTGAAGCTACTCCAATAGTGGGGTAAAAGTGCAGCAGTTGCTGTTTCAGAGTTTGGTTGGATGCTGCTATATAATTAGAAATACTTTATAATTTATGAATTTCTGAAATTTTAATATTATTGTTAATGGAAAAGTATAGGTATAGCAGAAGCCTGGGAATGGAGTGGAAGAGCAGCCTGGTGTACTTTCTCCTTTCTCAGGGGCCTGAAAATTGAAGGAGCAGAAATGAGATTGTGAGGGTATCGCCTCACTCCTAAGGATCCCTGAGGAAACTAGGAAAGCAAGTGGAGGAGACATGCATAGAGCCAAGACAGGAAGGGAAGACAAAGCATGATAAGTGGGGAAGAGACACTTTTCCCCCCACACCCTGTTACTGTCTGAGCCTTTTGAGGCACTTGGTGAGAAAATGAAGGAAGAAAGTGGGTTGGTCCTTGCCACAATGATGGATGAGTCACTTGGACTTCAGCAGGAGGCAGAGAAGGCATATGGCTCCTTCCCTGGGCATTCCATGGACTGGGGATGATGCAGAGAAGACTGCAATCAGGGAATCTTCATTTTCCAGGATCTTCTCCAAGAGGCCCACAGAAGAGCAGAAGCCCGTCAGAAGAAAGGGTCTCCTCTTTTCCAGATCCCTCCAAAAAGCTTACAGTATCAGAACTGGCAAGGAAAGGAGTGACCAAAAGAGGGGAGGAGCTATTATGAAAGAGGGGAGAAGGTGTGTACATGTTTAGATCTGTTGGACCTGCACAGTTCCTTGCTGGCACAAGCAAGCTACATAAACACCACTTAGGGAGAACAAAATGAGGGAAAAATAAATTAGTAAAGCAAAATAAAAAACAGTTGCTAAACTACGTAACAGACAATAGACTGGTGGTCCCCAAACTGTGGGGCGCAACCCCTATGGGGGAACATTCAGGGGGGCACATCGGGGCCCAAGTCAGCCCCCACAGGGGGCAGGGAGCGCGCGCCACCCAGCCCTGCTTTGGCCCCAGTTCTGCTCTGACCCTGCTTCCAGCCACCCTCAGTCTTGGCCCTCAACCACGGCTCCACACCCAGCCGCAGCCCCAGCTGCCAGCCTCCCCCGCAGCCCGGCCGCAGCTCTGCTCCCAGCCCCAGCCCCCAGCTGCGGTCCCAGCCTCGGCCCCCTTACCCCTGTCCGCATAGCCTGAATGCTGCTTCAGGAGGCGTGGGTGTGGACACGAACAAGGAGGAGAATGACCCTGAAAAGTTCGGGGACCACTCCAATAGGCTAACACAGTACTTTTCCAAAAAAGTCAGTTTCAAATAACTGAATTTGGCAGCGTACTTCCATATTTAATACATAAAAGTGACAACTTTTCAATTTTGAGAGAGGATTTCTTTTTTCCACTTAGCTCTGAGATGGAACCCTATTTAAGTGCTATAGTAGGTCAACTTAAAAGAAATCTCTTTCGGTTATTAAGATGGAAGATTTGAGGGACAGAATACAATCCTGTTAAGAATTCTCCAAGTTAGAAGATTCCCAGGCAAAGGTCTCCCCCCCCCCCCCCCCCCTTTTGTTATTACTTTGAATTGTTGATGTTTTCATCTTACACTAGACTGGTCTAAAAGTATCTGTGTTGATTTTTTTTTTTTTTTTTTGGATCTGTTGTACAGTTGACCATAAGATTTTGTTGGCTTGTTTGCGAACAAGTTTGGATGGGTGGAGCTGCTGCTGTTTGATTCTGTTCTTTTAAAAAAAAATTCTAAAGGTGTTTATGGGCAACTTCAGCTCTGACCCAAGCACTCATGTAGGGTGCTGCGGGGATTGATATTGTCACTTCTTTGATGAATGTGTATATGATTGTTGGGAGGGTTAGTGAAGAGACATAGGCTGCAATGCAGTCAGTAGGTTTATGACACCCTACTCTACATCTCCATTGCATCTGATCCAGCTGGAGAAGTGGAACAACTTACCTAATGCCTTGATTAACTTAGGGCATGGATGAGAGCTAGCTGGCTGCAAATTAATCCAGAGAAAATTGAGTTTATGTTGGTGGGCACCCTCATACCCGTGCCCCTCACAGAGGGAGTATCACTGCAATTTGTAAAACAGATGACAATATGATGCTATTGTTAGATCCTGGGATGCGCCTGGGTGCTTGAGTGGAGATTTTTCATCTGTGCCTGATCAAAAGAGTGCAATTTTGTGTATGTTTTGTGAGAGAGAGAGAGAGAGGACCTTGGTGCCACAATTATCCATGCTTTTGTTAACTCTCAAGATTAGACTGCTTTAATGCACTGTGCACAGGGTACACATTAGGACTATTTGGAAGCTGAAGGTAGTGTGAATGCTGCAGTCTTCTTATTAAGTGGAGTTGCACGTTGGGAGCACTTCAGACCAGTGCTGTGTGATCTGCACTGATTCCAGTAAGCTTCTGGGTGGAATTCAAAGTGTTGGTTATAACTATAAAGCCTTAAATGTGTGGGTACCTGATTAGCTGAGTGATTCATGCCATGGTATACTGCCACATTTGAGATTAGCAGAGGCAGTGGATCTGGAGTTCTCTCCCAGAGAGAGCTACTGGGGAAAAAAAATTCTGTGGTAAGTCCTTGAATTTTTTTTAAGTTGCTTCACCCTCCCTCCCTGATTTTCCGGAGCCCAGACTTGTTAACCTTTGGGGCATACTGTAAAGCTCATTGTGAAGTTTCTGGGGGTTCCCTGTAATAATTTTATATTCTGTATCGGCCTGGTTGTTGTTTGCTGTATGACTACATTGGTTTAACTCAATTGGGCTGTCTGCAATGTAAGTCGGAAGGAGAAGAATCACTCAATATAGCCATTTATCAGCAAACACTTAAGAGTTTGTAAGGGACGATGCCAAAACTATTGGACTTAATTATTTTGTCTCTGGCCTATGGCCAGCCTGTGAAACTGGTTTCAACAGGAATGGCTCAGACCTTCCAGGCACAGGAGAACAAAACTCTAGAAGGTTTTAAAAAGGAGACCTAAGCAAGGAACTAGACTGAAACTAGCCTTAGACTCAGGAATCTGTTGTGGTGTCTGGAGAAGCTAGGCTTACGTAGGTCGCCATCATGAAATGGTGGGAATTTAGTTAAGATAGACGTGTGTAGACTGTTTGTTTTAAAATAATTTTTCTCTAAAGCTTTGTTCCTACTGCTAAATAAAAAATACTTTTGTTTTTAAGAAGGTTGTTGGTCACTGCATATCACTGGTTTTTGAAGGGTAATTGTACCCAGGTCAAGGTCTAAGAGTGGGAGAATTGCTAAGTTCCACCCTGAGTCAAATAAAGGTATGAGGCCGAACAGCTGAGGAGGGTGCACTCAGACCAGAAAGGGGACGGAGGTGCAAGCAGCTCCATAACCTTCTTTTCTCTCTTTAAGTATGTTGTTGTTAAGGGATGTGGGGACTAAAGTGGATATATTTGTGCGTAGCCATTTGTTTTTATTTTCTTGTGATTTTTAATTTATGAAATAAGTGGACAGAGCACTAGATAAGTGCCTATAATTGTATTTTAAAAATGTGAAGAAACAATAAAATAAGGCAGATAATTGCAACTGCAGAGAGAGAATGTAATTTGTAGTTAATATTTGCAGCAATAATTGAACTTCTTTGTACTTTAAATGTATTTTTAAAGTATGTTTTGTTTATAGGCTCGAATACATCCATTCCATGTTTTGGTTGCATTAGAAACCTACAAAACAGGACATGGAAACCGGGGAAAACTTCGGTGGCTTCCTGATAAAGACATTTTAGAAGCTCTTGATGCCTCTTTTTACAAAACATTCAAGGTAATGGTCTGTTTAACTATCATGTTGTAGATCTCTGCTAGAGAAGTCATAAACCTGGCTTTGCAAATATCTGGAGTGATTTAAAGCAGAGTAAGCAATAATATAGACAAGTATTCTTACTTACTGAGGTTGAGGTTGGTCCTAAAATTCTGTCCAAGTATGATGGAGTGGACTAGGCCCAAAGGCCCCCTGCTGGAGGCCTCAGGATTCTGCCATACCCATTCCCAGAAAGGAGCAGTGAAGTGGTCCTCCAAGAGGCCTAGAATGGTTGCAAGGAAGCATCCAATCAGGCGTCAGGAGGGCCATAAAAAAGGAGGTGAAGAACAAAGCAATAGTTAGCTGGTGCTTGGAGCTGGAGAAGAAAAGACTGCATGTCTGGCTGGAAGAGCAGCAGGACCACGGACAGTCTGCTGGCAGGGACCAGGGGAAGGAGAGGCTTCTGGCTGGCTGCTAGGACTGAGCTAAAGACAGTTTGCTAGCAGGGCCCCAGGGAGCAATGAAGGAGCTCTTGGCTGGCTGCTACTGAGTAGGGAGTGAGCCTGGGGAGGGCCGCAGGAAGATAGTGTTTCCAGGGAGGAAGCCCTGGGGATACGGTCCCATAACCGGGTCGGGATTACTTAAAGACTTAGCCCGGAGAGGGCTCGAGAAACACCACCAATGGGGTACTGAGATAGACCCTGGTGGACTGTATACCCCAGAAGGGGTTTGTTCTTGTTCACATGCAGATAGTGTGAGAGACTCAGTAAGAGGGCTGAGTCACTAGAAAAACTGCCTAAGAACCACTGAAAGGGGTCACCAAAACTGAAAGGATGCAGACACATCCAACCAGAAGGGGCACTTACAAGAGGTGGGAGCGGACCTTGTTACATCAAGACTATTAAAGGACTTATTGCCTACTGCCTTAATTCTTTTTCTTATAGTGCAAGTGGGTCTGTTTCCAACTACCCAGTGCATTGTTAGTGGGTTTTTTAAACCTAGATGGCCCAAAATGGGTGGTGGTTGTTTTGTGTTTTTGTTTAAGCGTAGCCTAATGTTGGGAGTAGGGTGACCAGATGTCCTGATTTTTATAGGGACAGTCCTGATTTTGGGGGCTTTTTCTTACAGAGGCACCTATTACCACTCACCTCTGATCCTAATTTTTTTTTTTTTTACTTGCTCTCTGGTCACCCGAGTTGGGGGGAGGGAGGTTGTTTATTTTAAATTTAGGGACCGACTTCTTGCTGTCCATTTTGTTAGCCATGTCTAATCATGAGATGTAGTCAGCTTTAAAGAACTTTATGATCTGTGATATAAATGTGCCTTTCTGATAAGCATGATTAATAGCTGAAATGTTTAGGGGAGAAGTATTCTCCCCATAATTGAATTTTCCCCACATTTATTTAGGCACCTTAAACTATAGTGTCCTTTTAACTTTTGTAGCTATCCATCTTTGTTAAAAAGCATTGGCACAAAATAAAAATATATTACTAAATCATGTTATGAAATTATTAATTAATAAAGTTGTCTTTCATCAGCTGTTAGCATTCCACTTTGTAAAACACAGTATGATGATGTTTTCAGATAACGAGCAGTTTCAGCTGCGGAATACATGAACAATGAAGCTAAGCATGAAAGTGATGATTTTGATGAGTTAACCAAAACACTCAATTAGCTAGTTAGTTTTTGGTTTTGGTTGGTTGGATTGTTTGTTTTTTCCCTTGGGTGTTAGGGCCTTTCCTGAATATAGAATATTATGAAGTCAAGACTGCATTTTATTGCCACATTTTTGTGTCCATTTACTTTCAGATATTTATGCACCAGTTAATTAGTTCTATAATTACACTAGTTACTAATCTACCGTTCATGGAAAAAAATCTTCATAAACGTTGAAGTAAGCTGTGTGTAATTCTTAACAGGTTACATTGTGTTGTAAGGTCTGTCACTAATATTTTGAAGTCATAGTACTTTTGCATTTAAACAATACCAAAATAATTGTTTGGCTAAATTGAATTCAGCTGCTGGTAGTATGGTTAGTTTCATTTGTCCCATGAGAGAACTTCATGTGGATTTGGTGATTTAGAGGGAGGTACTTTTCTGACAATTTTTTGTAATGAATCCATGGGCAATTGTTTTAAGAGATGCAGTCTTTCAGATAAAATGAAAAATGGGGGTCCTGACCACTTGTCTTGAAATCTTAATTGATGACATTTTTTACCTGAGCCAGGGTTATTATTTAATCTCCTTTTTGGCAAGATTTAAACATGGGTAACTTCTTCCTGTCAAGCTAAATTCCCATTTACTTTGACAGCTCAAGTTGCTCTTTTCCTCCTAAAACTTATTGTGTAGTTTTTACTTGTATAGGATTGGCTCTGTATTTCAGAGCTTGGTAAAGTTATCCATTTTTATAAAAGGCTCTGCAAATCATTTTAGAAATCTTTTGCATGAGAGGCATTATGTAAATGTAATGTGTAACATAGTATTGAATTTTTGTAGCAAAGATTTAGTAATTGTTTAAAAATTTAATATTGTGTCAAAAGAGAGGGGGAATTCACTCGATTTATTTAACTGCTTTTAAATATACTCTCCTGGGAGACGGAATTGAAGATAAATAAGTATTTTGAGATTTTTATATATATGGGTTTTTTTCTCTCATTTGTTTAGACAGTGGAACCAACAGGAAAGCGTTTCTTGCTTGCAGTTGATGTCAGTGCTTCCATGACACACAAAGTTTTGGGCAGTGTGCTCAATGCTAGTACAGTTGCTGCAGCAATGTGTATGGTAAGAAATGGATCTTTTCTTGTAGCGATCCAGAATTCTTTAGGCTTGATTATTTAGAACACTAAGTCAGTATTGTACTGCTCTTCTGGCACAAAGATGCCTTCAAGATGCCACTAGAGGATTCCTTAAGCATGGTGAAACCTGTGAGTGGCATAGGGCCACCAAAAGTAGCTTCTGTGCCAACCCCCTCCTGGCTTCTGGCATAGAAGATATGGCTAGGATACCCTTATGCATGGTTGCTAGAAAGGCCCCTGGAGACTGTTGGTAACCAGAATCAATAAGAGCAGCCTGAATACTAGGCTGGTACCCAACATCTATTAGAAGAGTCTTCAGGCTGCTTTTATTTGCTCTATCGGAAAACACTTAAAATCACTTTCCTTGAAGCACAATGCAGATTGAGTTGAAAGAGATTTGGGAAAATATTAATACATGAATCCATCTCATCAAGCCATGCTTTGAGGAATGTATTCACTCATGTGGAATTTTAATTTAGAAAGGATGATAATGTTTTAAATAGTGAGGAAAATACATACTTTTTTTCCTTTTTAGGTTTTAAAATTACTTTGCAGGGGATTAGTAATTTAGGAAAATACTTAAGTGCACATTTCAAATAGCAGTCAATTTGTTTTTAAAGTTTAAACTTTAAAATGAAATTACTTGTGCTTTTTAAATTTCAGGAATATAGAAAAATAGAAATGTACCATGTTCAAAATGTAGTCTGTTTCCTATAACAGAAAGGAAGGAAAAAGAGAGAGAACAGAAAAAATTCAAACTTTGTATCTGGAAACTAAAAATTAAGGTTTTTTTATTATAGTGATTAGGTCCATTAGTTCATCTTGGATTGCTGCAATATTTAGGCACTCTAGGATAACACTGCAAATTAAGGGTAGAGTTGAAACATTAACTTCACTTTTTGGGGGTCAGTCATATCTGTATTACTTTAATTTGATGCTTTGTGTTTTCAGTAGAAAATATGTTGAATTATCACAAAACAAACTGCAGATAATTTCAAAGTGACATAATTAAAATACTTGACCTAATTCCCCGAAACCTTATTTTTCTCTCAGGTTGTTGCACGCACAGAGAAAGATTCCAATATTGTTGCCTTTTCACATGAAATGGTCCCCTGTCCAGTGACGAAAGACATGACATTACCTCAAGTATTAGTGAAAATGTATGAAGTATGTGAACACTTTTAGTTTTGTTGTACTGTAGCTACTGTATAATTCTGATAAATCTATTGCCAAAAATTAAGATATAATTTGGGTCATTTAGTATTTGCATTCTAATATTTGCTTTCCTCATTGCGAATTTATTATACGTTTTAGTAAAATCTTCTTCTTGTTTTTCCTTTCTTAATATATCTGATTTCTTCTGAAAAGCTATGTCGAGCAAATCCTATTACTTTACTATCTGAATAGCTCTACACTTCATTTTAGAGAAGTGGTATTGGCACGTAATCTCATCAACTTAAAAAAATGGATGAGCATACAATAAATTCTGTAAGGCAATATGGTGTAATTTTTTTTTTGTAATGTTACCAAAGAAGCTTCTGCATATAGTGCTTAAAGTACTTTACATTTTCAAAGTAACTGTATAAAGAATCATCTTTATATCTTCAATTCTGCATAGCCACTGCAATGTTCTAATTCATACTTTTCATTGCTGTTAACTTGTGCTTTACAACAGTACGTGCCATAAAATTTATCAGTTTCTTGGAAATAAACTCCTCTGGTGACTTATCCAAAGCCCATTGCAGTTGGATAAGACTCCAGTTGACATCAATGGTTAGGTTAGCCTCCGATTACAGTATTGAATAAAAAAGGCCAAAATCCAAGGCCCAGTCCTACAATTTGATGAGCACGGGTAGACTTGTGCACCCATGTAGAACTCCATGGACTTCAGTGGACATCCATGTTGCATTGCAGGATGGGGCCTGCTGAGTTTATCTTCATAACTAAGTTGTAAGGGAAAAACTTCACTGTCTGTCTGCTATCAGACTTTTCTTAATTACTAAACTTATTAATTTTCCCTTTATGTTGCTACTCCTTATTTTTCTGTATGTTTTCAATTTTGCTGGCACTGGCCAATTTTGTTGAAGGGTAAAGACTGCAATTCATATTCTGGAGGTATCATATTTCCTCTACGTCTATCTCAAACCAACTCAAGTTAAACATAGGTTTTTAAGGCTAAATTCAATGTATTGAGTTGCTTGTAAGCTATACTTGAGTCCCTTAGGGTCCCCACCCCACCCCCCAAAGAAAAACCATCCTCAGAGAAATTTACGTTCAGTTTATACATAATTGCTCACAAATTCTTTTTGACTACTTTCTAAATATCTATCTAGAGCTGGCTGAAACTTGGAATTTCCAGTTTGTGGGAACTTTCAATCTTTTGACATTTGAAATTTTTATATAGCAATTTCAGTATTTTGAAATTTGGTTTCATTTCCGGTAGCAATGAAACCCAATTTTTAGAAATTTCTCACAAACTGAAAATTCTTGGGGTTGGGGGGGTGAAATTTGTTTTGGAGACAATACATTGTGATTCCCAGAGGAAATATGCTTTTTGGGACCCAGTAGCTACTGACTAAACTTGACACGATTCTTGTTTAGTTTCACTGTTGGAATCCTACCTGTAGTTCATCAAAGGTTCCTCAAACCCAATATCTTTCAACAAAACACTTCAGGTTTGATAAATCTGCATTTTCTGACAAAAACCCTGTTTCACTGGAATATTTTCAACCAGCTCTATACATAAACATCATTGTTTTTAAATACCTTGAATTTATAGAAGCTATCAAATGGCAGTGTTTTACCTATTTTTTATTTATAAAATATATGTTGATACATTTATGTTCAATGTTTCTAATGCAATTAATGTCAAAGAAAGAGTAACCTATTGAATGCTTCATGGTAGATACAAGTAGGAAAACTGTTAACTCTCATGTCCTTCTTTGTACTATTCAATTTCAGGGCCACGTTGCTGTTGGATAGTTAATCATAGCTAGTAATATGAAAGGATAATATTTATAAGATATCACTGTAATACTTCCAGATTTTATGGTGAAGTGCCCTATACAGTTCTCAATAATATTCTTGTGTATTTTTAGATTCCAATGGGTGCTACTGATTGTTCTCTACCAATGATATGGGCTCAAAAAACACACACAGCTGCTGATATCTTTATTGTGTTCACTGATAATGAGACCTTTGCTGGATATATTCATCCTGCAGTTGCTCTAAAGGAGTACAGAGAGGTAAATAACCTTTTGATAATACAGTATCATTGTCCTCTCATACAATTGTGGAAAAAATATTAAATTGTTAAGAAATTTGTTTTGGAGACATAAGCATTTGTGGTTTAATGCAATAAACGTATGCTTTTGTATTACAGAAAAAAAATTCATTCTTGGAATCTTTGTACACTCAGGGAGAAATGAATGGCATTTCTTGGGGGGGAAAAGAACAGGAATTTTCAGATAAATTTGTCATTAATTATTGGCCTAATATTTACATCCTGTGTTTAAGTTTCGTGACAACATTTGATATACTTAGTGGTTAGTGAATTTTTGAACTTTTCTATTGGATATATGATTGATAAATCAGTGAAATTCTGCTTATCCAAAAACGTGAAGTTCTGATATTCCTCAGTGCTTTGTGATAGAGTTGTTTTCAGTAATGTAGTAAAAACTTATATAGAAATAGCTGCCAGTGTGAGGTTATGGGAGCCTGCAAAGAAGGCAGATCAACAGGAGTGAAAAGCCCCTGGAAGCAGAGCTTATGTTGCTTATTATCTTTTCAGGAGGGAAGCTACTGAAGTTATTAGCTCTGTGGGCTACTAGCTTCCAGCAGCTTTTCTTGTGCTGATCTTGTAAGCTCTGTAGGCTTTCTCCCTATAAGTCGATTTGAAATGAAACTTCACTTATAATGAAGTCAAACTGCAGAAAAATGACTTCACTATAAACATGTTCCACTGTAATGTTGTTCAAATTCTGAATAAAATAGATCTTTGACATCCTCAGTAGGAGAGAGATTGAATTTATATTCATATTATACCTTTTACTTTATATAATTCATGTGAGGACCTCAAAGTTCTTCACAAACACTAAAGACTTAGTTAATCACCACATCACCCTTGTGAGGTAGGTAAGTGTTACCTCTGTTCTGCAGTTGGGTAAAATTGAGGCAGGGATGTTGAATGGCTAGGCCAAGGGTCACCAAGAAGTCTGTGGCAGAGCTGAGACCTGATCTGACTGCAAGAGCTATGCTTTATCCATAAATGCAGCTGTCACTCCTATTAGACGATTGGATGGCCATTACTTACAACAGTCATCATATGAAATGTAGTCAATAGAAAATTTAAATGTTTCCATTTGAAATAACCCACTTTTCAGCACACGCTAATTCTGTATTCCTGTCCACAGGCTTTGGTGGTGTGTAAAACCAACTGATTGCATTTATTTCATCTTCACATAAATCAAACTGAGACTTCAATTTTGGTTTAAAAAAATATTAACAGCTAGATTTTTGGAATCCTTACTCATGAAATCTCCTGTTGCCATCATCACTGAATCAGTGCACTGTGAAGTACCTGAGTAAGGACTTCAGGATTTAGGCCCCAGATGATTTATAAATTGTCGTGTGTATATTCTGGTGTACTGAAAATGCTTTATTTGCTTTCCTTCCTATTTCTAGAAAATGGGTATTCCATCTAAACTGATCGTGTGTGGAATGACATCAAATGGCTTTACCATAGCAGACCCAGATGATAGAGGCATGTTGGATATATGTGGCTTTGACACAGGAGCTCTCGATGTCATTCGCAACTTCACTTTGGATTTGATTTAATCTGTTAGCACCTGTTATTCACAGTGGGTCCGTTGCTGGCAAGAGACTCTGCCCTGAGAACTGCCAGCCAAATGTACTGTACTAAAATATGGCACATGATGCACGTATCAAAATGATACCTTTTTGTAAAGGGAAAAGCAGATGAGAAATTACTTTTTTTTTTTCTGTTGCACGTAGTTTAAAAATAACAATGGGAAAGCCTGCTAAACGTAGCTACACAGTTTGATTTAATTTCATTTATAATAGTTGAACAATACTAAGGTTTTCTGTCACTGTACAATGCCTTTGTCTTCAATAATAAATTGATGAGTTACTTCTGGTATTGGGAGTCTGGGCAGGAAAGGGAAATGGTGTTATTGTTTTGAAATAGTGTCAATTTAACAGCAGTTTACTCACGGTTTTTGGTTTTGTTTTTTTTTAATATTTGTATTTGCGAAGAATAAGATTCAACCTTTTCCATTGTTCAGTTTCAAATCTATAAAAGAGAAATTATTTTCTGGAGTGCACTAGACCGTGTAACTGTGATGGAATGTAAAAGTTACTTGTCAAATTTTATACTGACAAAGTAAAAGTGGAAATATATGATTAAATTGTGATAATCAGACTTTTTCTGAACAGATTACTATCTGGATCTTCTAAAATAAAATACGTAACTTTTGGTAAATTGAAAGGCAGTTTTTGTAAATTGCAATTTCTGCAGACTATTGTAGAATTTGTATGCTTTGTAAGAAATCTCTACAAACTCTTTTTGGCAAAAGAGAGGATCCCTGAAGTCATAAAATCAAGTCCCATCCTCCAAAGTAATAGCTTGCTGAGGTTTCAAGTGCTTTTTCGATGAAGAAGATTAACAGATACGTCTGAATTAGTGTGACTCTTAAGTTTTGGTCATCATAACCAGAAAAAAATTAGCTGTTAATTTCTGTATTATCTGCTCATTCTTTTGAAGAAATCTTACCATCCAAAAAAGCAGAGCACTTCTTAGCATTTGTTTTAAAAAGAAATTCAATCAGTAATCTGTTTTCAAAACTACTTCTACTTTGTAGTGACATTCTTACAGTGATCTTTCTGCATTATACAGCTGTCCCCTACACACTCAAAATCTTACTTGTTTAGCAGTGTTTTGGAAATGAGAGTTTTAATCTTCTGTATGACAATAAAGAAAGAAGAGGACAAAAGGCATAGGGGAGAAAGTTGTGTCTACAGATAACTTCTTGACTCTGTTTTCGAGCAGGAATTAATAGTAATGTGTTTTTTCTATCTATCCTATCTATCCATCAAAAGGTCTCTTCAGAATGTCACAGATTAAGAACACAAGTTTTATCTTTAAGGTTTTTAAGTAATACTTTACATCTTTCCCTAAATTGTATGCATGTGGCTGTCAGTGTCCTGCTAGCTGTGGTTATTTTACAAGATTAATTTGGTATTTGTTTGAAAAAGATTGTAGTTATAAAATAAGCTAATTATAGTAAATAATACATCACACTTCTGTTGCTATACTGAAAATATCCTTTGAGATATAAAGCAGGTGTTCACATTTGAACAATGTATAAACTCTTGATATCTCCTTATTCAATATGTTTAAAGTATAAAGAAAATAAGTTCAAAGTTAGTGTTTGTAGGATGGAGATTTTAGACTCTGACAATATTTAAAATATAGATGGGTGACTGCATGCTCCAGGCTTACTGCCTCAATTTGTCAGACTAATGTTCAAGGTATCATACTACCCATTTATGCCCTACTTCAAGGATTAATTAGAACAGTGAAGACAGCATTTGAGCTGTTTTTAAAATTGTCTTTTGAAGAACTGGTGGTAATGGAGTAGTGGCTTTCAGTCAAAGTGAATGGAACTTCTTTCAGTTAATAGTTGGTAAGTGACAGTGCAGTAGTAGAATAAAGTTTTCAAAATGCGGGGCTACTAACAGTTTTTTCAGGTGACAACATCCAGAAGCAACTCCACTGCTTTCTTTGTAAAAGGAATTTCAAGAGGCAGGTCCCCCATCTTATTTTTATATTAAAAGTGGGTTTTGTTTTTTCTTTTTAAATATAGTAATATTTTCTAAATCACACAATAGTTGAATATTTAATAAAAATGTTTACTCCTGAGCCAGAGAAGTTAATGAAAACTGGGAAGGTGTTGTAAGTAGTTTATTATTGGGAAGTAATAAGAGTCTAGTGTTTTAGTATAAATATTACATGGATTGGAAAATTAGGAAGCTGTGTACTTAGAAAATATGAAATGACCTTATGCAATTCTTGCACAAACCTATGATAATTAAAAGGATTTGATAGGACTAATGACGGTACTAACAGATTAATAGTGGAAAATTACACTAATACTGAATCATTGAAATAAGCCCAGTTGAAAACCTAAATCCTTGAACTAGATAAACAGAGTGAAGGTAAACATTCAGTACAGTCTACAGCAGATTAAGTACATCTGTTAGAGTTGTGTACCACTTCTAGTCATATCCTCTCCATTATTGAAAAGATGGAGTATGGAATATGCTCCTAAGTACTTACCTTACTCTCTACTGAAAGATACTAATAGGGTACAGTTTTACATTCTGACTGGTTTTGTTTGTACTGATAGGACTATATTGTACCCTATGTGGGCTGTCCCCCCAAATGTTCCCATTAGTGGATGAATAGGGTTTGTGCCTTCCTTCCATGGAAGTGGTAGAGAGAGGAGTCCTTTTCCCCAATAGCAGATTGCTTGAGATCCGCAAAGGCCTTACTTCTGGCAGGAGTTGGGAGGCAAAACAGAGGGGCTGCCGTCGCCTAAGCCTCCCCTTGAAGATTTCTAGAGTACAGAGAGGGAGAGCTGGAAGTTTAGCATGTACGCTAATACTGACCTTGTCAGTGTTAAAGTCCCACAAGTCTGGAAGACGTATTTCCACTCACATTCTCTTTTTGCATATGGTTCTGAACCCTAAGGTTGGGAGCATAGAGCATAACATATGCATAGAGCATAACCTGATTGCTATGGTTGTTTCCTTCTTTAGTCTTAAATCCAGTAACCAAACAGTTTCTAGTCTGCAGAATGAATAGGTCAAGATAATTTGCAAATTGCAGTGTTGAGGTGTGTGTGTGTTTGGGGGGGGGGGGGGGGTGAGAACTAGTCTAATAGTTACAGTAACATTAAAAAATACCATTAAAATGTGTGAATTAAAGGCATAATTGCTGAACTTTATTCAGAATTAAATTATTAATGGTAAATATACTGTATTACCTTTTCACCAAAGAGGAGAGATGACTTTATCATGTTAATGTTATTGTTTGCATTGGTGGAACACTTTGTTTCCATTTGGCTCTAGATAAAATACAATAAAGTATAATTGTGCACTGAGATTTATTACAGAAAGGAGAAATTTAAGAGAGAGTTTGAAATTAAGTTCAGTTTTTCAAAGCGAATATTTCCAAATGTCTGCAGTGGGGAAAAGTCCAGTTAGGGGTGTGATTTGATTTCCTGATACCTGCCTGAATAAAGAGGCTTTCAAATCAATTTCCATTTCACTAGGAACCCACATGCTAGATTTTCATTAGAGTTATTGATAGCTACAGAATACGTATGTGGGTTGTTGAAAGAATGAAAAACACTTAGTAATAGCCGGGTTTGTAATATATAGTGCTGCTGTGCAAGAGGCTAATGGAGTTTGGAAGCATTTCAAAAATATTTAACATTATCCTAACACCTGAGAATAACACCTAACTATTGTGTATATTTAAGGATGTAATGGTGACAGGCTTGTGCTTTGAGAAAGAAGGGTGGGGGGGGTTTGAGAACTGGAAGCATAATATGTAAGTAAAACTCAGAAAGGGTGATCAAGTGCTCATTGATTTTATATGCCAAGAGTTTGCCTCAAAGAAGTGAGAGGATACTTTTTTGATCAGAGCAGTGATAACGGAGCCCAAACTATAAACTCATTGCTAGAAGAATATGTATGTGGATTTAGGACTTCAAAAAAACTACCTGATTTAAGATCCCGATTTGGGTAGCTCTTTAAAAAGACAATTGGGGGCAGGGGGAAAGTGTTTCCTGAAAACACTTAGGCCATGTCCACACTTACCCGTAGATTGGCTCTGCTGCAATCGATGCAGCAGTGTTGATTTAGCGGTCTGTTGAAGACCCACTAAATCGATTGCAGAGCATTCCCCAGTCGATTCTGGTACTCCAGCTCCCCAGTTGCCGGGAGAGAGAGGGAAGTTGCCAGGAGAGCTTCTCCTGTCGATCCAGCACAGTGTAGATGCCGGGGTAAGTTGACTTAAGCTACGTCGACATCAGTTATGTTATTCACATAACTGAACTAGTGTAACTTGGGTCGACTTGCCACAGTAGTCTAGACCAGCCCTTAAATTCCCTCTCCCTTTTTACCTTATTTATTTACATTTTAGTGTATTTATATATATGTTATATATATCAAACAATTTAAAATAACAAAATATAAAATATAGAGAAGTTAATTAAAATGGAACTTAACAGGTTGTCAAGAATTGGGTTTTACACTGAGAAATTTGGACTTACGATAAAGAAGGAGAATTTGAGATCCATTTGTATTTTTTAAATACAGGAAAGAGTGTCATTTACCCACAATCCTAAAAATGGAAACGATAATCTAAAAATAAGTCTACTCAGCTTCCAAATGTCATGGGGCCAGTTTGATAAAACAGCAGTAAAGTAACTGGCCATAAAACCACTCTGTGCTTAAAACACGTATTAAGTCAGTTAGCTTGTAGACAGTCGTAATTATGACATAATCAGTAATAAGAAGCAACATTTTTATACTCCTTTAAGCCCCTAAAATAGTGTGTCCTTAAAAGGCTATACAGCACAAACCTTATATTATTCTTGGTTTAAAATGTATATAAATTAATCTAGACTTTTTCTTTTTAACCTATGTTTGATCTACAAAGGCACCTTCTTCAGCTAACCATTGTTATCCATTGCAAAAACACTGCACTTATTAATCATGTAGCTAGTTGGCTGCCTGCCCCAAGCTGGGGCATTAGTTGTGCCAGTTCTATCTATTGTCCTTGCGCCGATTTGTTCTCCCACTGATACTGGCGTGTTTTTTTTTCTCTTCCCCATCTCTGTTCTGGTCTTTAATCTTTACTTCTGTTTAACTTCACAATTTGCCTTGTGCTTCTGATCTCATTCTGCACTATAGTAAGATTGTTGTTGGTTTGTAAAGTTGATGAGCATGCTGTATTTCCTCATTAATAACAACTAACACCAGAGCATTCCTTTTATTTACAATTTTTTGCCTTATATATTTTAAAACTTAAATAATTTTCATTTCTTTAGCATACAAATTGTAGGAAAAGTTATTTGTAACTAACTAGATCAGATTTTTCATAAATTATAAAGCCAGAAGAGGCACCATTGGGATCGTCTAGTCTGATTTGTAAAATACAGGAAATATATCATTGCACATAAAATCTGCTTCTTCGAGTGCTTGCTAATGTCCATTCCAATGTAGGTGGGCGCGTGTCGCATACACTGTCGCCGGAAAGGTTTTTCCTTAGAGGCATCCGTTGTGTTGGCTCTGGTGCCCCCTAGAGTTGTGCCCTCTTGGCAGGGTATATAGGACACCTACCAACCCACTGCCCCTTCAGTTCCTTCTTACCGCCTGTGACAGTCTCTGGAACATCTCTGGTCTCTTGCAAGTGCTTCGTCTCAGTGGACTTTTTCTATAAAATAGTTGTAAATAGCTACTGTTAGTGGTTAATTAGGACTTAGAAGCAGTATAGTTATTAAATGTTTCCCACTTAGTGGAGTTAGGCCGCCTGGGCCCAAGTGGGCTGCCTCAGTCCCAGGGGTTCAATCAGTGAGCGGCGCGCCACAAACCGATGCCAGTTAGTGACCCACACAGTAGTTGTCTGAGGTGTCTGGGGGATGCAGGAGCAATGCAGAATCTTCAGGAGCTTCAAGCCCAGGACAAAAAAGGACAGGGACAACAGACTTAAGTTCCTCGTCATGGGGGCAGTGCTTTGTCCCCCCCTCAGCACCAATTCAGGTGGAATTGGCACCAAGTACTTGGATGTTGGTGAGGAGTGCCCTCGCCCCTCTGAGGGAGGCGGGGTGCTGTTCCCTTTTCCTGGCACCAAGAAAGGACTCTGCACCGGTGACCCAGGACTCCCAGCATCACCATGTGTCCCTGATGGAAATCAAGTCAACACTGGCAACAGACTCCTGGCACTACTCACTGTCACCGATGCCAAAGAAGAAACAAAACAAGGTGGACCGGGGGTGCTCTGCAACCCCAAATTCCACGAGTAATAGGGATGCTGTGAGGGTGCGACCTGTGCCAGGCCACTCTGAGGCACCGATGGCGCATGCAACACCGTCAACTCCGGCCCTGTAAAGTTTGTTGTTGAGTCCAGTGCCAGTGGACTCCCTTCCCAGGGAAAGCTACTGCAGCACAATAGCCCTGGCTCTACCATCTATGCCAGAATTTTCTGAGGCAGCGAGAGTCCTTTCTCTCCTGATGCTGCCTTCCCCAGCCATCCAGGAACTGTTGGTGGCAGCTCCAGCACCGAGGACCCAAGGCAGGCGCCAGCGAAGGGCAAGCTGGCAATGATGGCATGGCACCGGTCCCCTCCATCGCAGCACCGCTTTCTAGTACTGGTCGGCACCACCTTGGTCTCCAAGAAGCAAATCTTCCGACTCTGATTTGGAAGCAGAGTCCAATGCTTTGCGCAGGAGCAGACATGGCTCAGCTCGGCGACACCCGGAGGCAGACATGGGCCAGGGCATGATGCTGGCTGCATGGCCACCAACGCAATGGCAGCTTGCCACTGCTTCCAGACTTGATCTCCCAAGATCACAGTCTCCTACGTCACCCAAACCTCAAATCCCGCTACCTCACGGCTTGGAAGCTCCAGTTTGCAAGGTGTTCTTGAGGCGTAGGAAGCCTTCTACTAGGGCCACATATCTGGAAAAGTGGAAGCGGTTATCGGTCTGGTCGACACAGAAAACTGTTTTGCCTACGGAATTATCACTGTCCTTCATCCTGGACTACCTGCTCCACTTAAAGCAGGAATGTCTGATGGTGTCATCTATAAGGGTTCATCTGCCCACGATCTTTGTGTTTCACCCCGGGTGAATGGCCAATCGGTCTTCTCCAAAGCAATCTGTGGCTCTTTCTTTAAAGGTCTGGAACGACTGTATCCACACATACGACAGCCCCTGCCTCCGTGGGACATCAACTTGGTGCTGTCGAGGCTGATCAGACCTACATTTGAGCTGCTGGCGATGTTCTCCCTGCTTTACCTGTCTTAGAAGGTGGCCTTCCTAGTAGCCATTACTTCTGCCAGAAGGGTCTCTGAGATATGAACGCTTACCTCAGAATCACCATATATGGTCTCCTTCAAGGACAAGGTACTGCTGTGGCCACACCCATCTTTCCTGCCAAAGGTGGTCTTGCAATTTCATAGTAATCAGGATATCATTCTGCCAGTCTTCTATCTGAAGACACATGCTAATAGGGAAAAACAGAGACTACACTTGCTGGATGTGAAGCGTGCACCAGCTTTTTACAGAGAGGACCAAACCCTTTAGAAAGTCCACCCAACTGTTAATAGCTATCACGGACAAAATGAAAAGCTGACCAATCTCTCCCCAAAGAATCTTTATCACGGATCACCTGTATCCACACATATGACCTAGCAAAGGTCCCAGTTCTTAGGTTGACAGCCCACTCTACAAGAGCTCAAGCATCATGGATAGCGTTTTGTGTGGCACAAGTGTCAATCCAGGATATCTGTAGAGTGGCAACATGGTTGTCGATCCACATGTTCATGACAAAAAGCAAAGGAGTACTTGTGGCACCTTAGAGACTAACCAATTTATTTGAGCATAAGCTTTCGTGAGCTACAGCTCAATGCATCCTGTAGCTCATGAAAGCTTATGCTCAAATAAATTGGTTAGTCTCTAAGGTGCCACAAGTACTCCTTTGCTTTTTGCGAATACAGACTAACACGGCTGCTACTCTGAAACATGTTCATGACACACTATCCTATCACTTAACAAGCTAGAGATGACTCAGACTTCAGCTGAGCAGCGCTACAATCAGCGTGTCAATGAACTCCAAACCTTCCACCTGCACAACTGTTTCAGAGTCACCTACATCAGAATGGACATGAGCAAACACTTGAAGAAAAAACGGTTACTAACCATCCGTAACTGTTGTTGTTTGAGATATGTTGCTCATGTCCATTCCAAAATCTGCCCGCTTTATCCCTGTATCGGAGTTAGCTGACAAAAAGGAAATTAGGGGTCGGCAGGATGCTATATACTGCACCATCAGGGTGCGACTCCAGTGGGCACCAGAGCCTACCCGACAGATACCACTGAGGGAAAAACTTTCCGATGATGGTGCATGCAGCATGTGCACACCTACATTGGAATGGACATGAGCAACACATTTCTAAGAACAATTATGGAAAGTTAGTAACAGGTTTTTATTTTTTTTCTTATTTTTTCTTTTTGGAAAATAATTCTCAAAGATAATCCAACACCTACCCGTATGATGATTTAATAGGCTTTATTTTTTGAAAATTATCATTTTAAATTACCTTGTACAATTTTAAAGTCTCTCTCTCTATAGTTTATATAGTGATCATGCTCTCTATTCTTTTTAAAATATATTGAGTTTATATTATTTCCATAATAAAGGGACCTATTAAATTAATATTCTGGATAGATAGGCAGCTTTGCAACATTACTGCAATTTTCTTGTATCTAGAATGTAGGCAGAAATTTGAGAAAGGAGATTGATTCTTTATCATGTATAGGCTTTAAATTAATTTGACAATATTTCATCATTTTTACAGGTTTATGCTAGCTATTTTCAAAGGTTTTATAGAGACATATGTACAGTCAAGATATGGTTTGAACAGACTTATTCTTGTAATAGGTAGAAGTTTTTACATGTTTTTACCGTACCATAAGATTGCATAGCATACAGCATTACTGAAAATATTGAATGAGTGAGGAATATGGGGAAAAAGGTAAGTCAGTAAGATGGTATATGTGCTGCTTGTCATACCTAAAATTGAGGTTAAGTTTAACAAATCTCAGCAGGAGGTATGATGCCTGTAAGTGTGTGTGTGTGTTACATGTGGGTTTATAGTTTCTAATATTGTGACATTTTTCCTTCAGATATTTCTGCATTTTGAATTTAAGTTTAAATAAACATATGGTAACACTTAAAGGTAAGAACATGTAAAAATGATTATTTGACAAATAATGAATAGAAATAATAATAAATGGTACGAACTAATAAATGTTATCAGCTTCTTAATAGTTGAGCTCAACAGATAACAAATAAAATGACTATTCTACTACACTTTCATTTTAAAGTACGGTACTGAAATAATTGTTTTAAAAGTCACTTTCTTATGCAGTAGTTTTGCACGTGGGGGTGTATTCAAATTTCTATAGGCATACTTAACTGATTTACAGTAAATTCCCTCCCCCAATTTATTACACATTTTAGCAATGCAGAGTTTGGTCTGGGTGAGAAACCTTGATTCTGTTCGATTCAAACATCATGATCAACATAACTGAGTTCCTATTGCAGAATCTTTTTTATTGGTGATGTATGTGTTTAACTCTCAGCTCCCAGATTGAATTTGCAGGCTAGCAATTAGAAAAACAATGTGTAATTGTAAGCTATACAGTTTTGATCTGAAGTCATCGATAAACAATAAACGTGGAACACTCTCCCTCCCCATAATGCAGATTTTAGAGTCCTGTTTTAGAGTAGAAACCTCACTTTTTAAAATAAAAAATATGGCTTTGTGCTACTTTCTATAGAATAAAACTAAACTCATTTGAGAAAAGATCTTTGGAAGGAAGAGCCTTAATTTGGTAAATAATGACAACATTAACCATTTGAGTACCTTAACACATTCATCTTTATTTAGTAAATGGGCACTCATTAGTATCTATAGGCACTCAGTGTGTTTCCTGAACTATTAGTGGAATTTTGCCTTAAACAATTCCCTCAGATTACTAGAGCATAGAACTCAAAGGGTTAGTATTTTAGAAAGATTTTTAAAAATGTACAGGTAACAAAATGAAAAGTAAGGTCTTGAGAAAATTCCTTTGCATGCTATTATTTTTTTACACTCTGGGAAGATTTACTAGTCTTCATCTGAGGTCTTGTTTTTAATTAACAGACCTAAGTAATCTACATAGAGGGAAAAAAAGAAGAAAAATCTTTGTTACCAGTATTTGTACAAAATAGTTTTTATTTAGTACAAAATTAGTGAGAGAGGTATAAATTTGTGTGTTTAATTTGATGGATGTCTCCTTGTAAATCAAAACTTACCAGGACAGTGAAGAATTTAGTAAAATGTAGTAAACTTTGCAATAATAAGAATAAAATATATATCCAGGATCAGTGTGTTTATTAACTCTTTTCTATACGTTAAAGATGCACTATGCCTTTCAGAAACTGTGGAGAGGGCGTATTATTTAAACTGAAAAATTAATTGCAACCTAAAAAGTTCAGGGCGATAAAGTGTATTGTGAGAATAAGTATGCAGGTCTTAAATTACATCGGGTCTCTTTCTAATCATATTCTCTGCTCTGAAGAGATATTTGATGCTACATCTCTTTGGGAAGGAACTGTCTCCTACTGTGAATTTGTACAGTACAGTCTGGGGCCACAATCCTAAGTGAGACCTCTGGGCACCACTTTAATACAAATAATGACTAATAATAATTGATCAGCCGTAAGCCTTTTTTATTGTGAATAGTGCATCTTTAACAGTATAATGGTCCATTTTGAGGAAGAAAAGGATATGCTTTCCTGTTTGCATATTAACAACATTTCTCAAATACTGCAGGGTCTTGCTGTTACCAATATCCTGGCCTTAGATGTACATTATATTGAAATTACTATTTTTAGACGTTTACTTGCAAGTGAAATAATGCTAATAAACTGCATTATGACTGTAGAATTTGATACGAGTACTAAATAAACTCTATGAATAGCAGACTATATTTTGTTTAGTTATTTATTTTCATATGGTGGTGAAGTCATATTAAACAAACCCATGGCTCTGCATTTTGGTGTGAGCAAAAATCTGCCTAGATCCTGAAACCGTAATCTTGATTTTATATTTGGAAAATGGTGTGTAGTTTGCTCAGCCAGGGCTGGAAAAACAGATCCTTTGTAGTACAGATTGGAGAAACAGAGAGGTATCAATAACTTGCCCAGCACACATGCCCTCTAATTTCATAAAAATGTATATTCCATCTTCTCAAGGCCTTGGATTTACATCTTGTGGCCCAGATAATGGAGGAGGAGGACACAGAAAAATGAGGGAGGAAGGCAAAATCCAAATCTCCTTTAACTCAGAAGTAGCAATTAAGTTAGCAGCCTCATACTCACCTATCTCCTGTAAACAGAGGACTTAAACAGCCCTTTCCTAGTCTTGTAAGATTTTTTGAGACTGGTAGCAATTCATTGGAACTTCTTTCCTGGAAGACAATTACAGATATAAGCACCCTATTAGGGGAAGTTGGTTGCAGATGGAAGACCTTTGTGGAGAGCCCTCCATAAATTTGAATAAGCAACCACATTTCTTGCGGGTTATATGAGCCCCCAAACCTTTAGAAGATAATCATATTAAAACAACCTGAAATTGAACAGAATGTGCACACAACCCTCTTAACAGGCCCCAGATCGGCTTCTTTGAAGAATGGTCTCTAGGAAAATATTTAAAATCTTGACCACTATGATGTATCAAGTTTGACACATCCAGTCAACATGAACAACATCCAACTTGAACAATGTGAACAACTGCTCACTTCTTCTGAGACACAGATTTTAAGGGGAAGTTCATATCGGTGATTTTGGGTAACATTTCTGACCAGAATGTTGTCATTTTTAAAATTTATTTTAACACATTTACAAACCAGGAACTTCACTACTAACGTTAAACTTTAAAGAAATCAGAGCATTTGGAAATATGAAAATTCAGTTAAGGCACACAGAACACATTAATTCAATACCCATAAAAACACCTGCCTCCCATCTTTTTGGTTGACGTGTGAAATGTGCAATACAGAATATTAGTTATAGAACTTGCTTAATAATTACATGCTTCCAGCATGAAGTGCAATGCTTTGTCCCCCACTTAAGTTTTCTAAAACAGAGTTAGTAACTTGACTACCATATAGGGATATTGTGAGGCTATATCACTAGTGTTTATACACCACTTTGAAATCCTTCATTGGAAGCCACTGCCAAGCTTCCATTGACAGTAGTCTCCCCATACTTAAGCAAGTAATTCACTTTTGATCTCAACTTCAGTCATAGCATATCTATCCCAAATTTCTGAAGCAGAGTTTATGGATGGAAATTTCAAGTTAATCAGTCATGACCTTTGAGATGGGATTTAAAGATTTCAATTTTTTTGAAATTGACCCAGATAAACCACAACAAGTTAGCCTACCAACTCCAAATTTGTTTCACTAGTTCTGAGTGAAATTATTTAGGGCTTGTCTATATGGGGAATTTGCCTGGGATAGCTATTCTGCAACAGCCATTCTGGAATGGTTCCTCATGTGGACACTTCTGGAATAAAGGCTAGTCAACATGGACAGTTATTCCAAAATAGCTATTCCTGATCAACTCTACACGTGAACACCCTTGTTCCACATTAGCTTGAAGCATTGGATTAGTTCTGTTGGAACTGCTTCATAAATTTCTTATCCTTTCTATTCCCAAGCCCAAGGGAGGGAGAAGTACCAGTTAATGATACCTAACTCCCACAGGACAAGTAAGGGTCTATCCAGGTCTGAGGAGAAGGAAGGGGAGCCACAAGGGGCAGGACCACCACGGTTGTGTGCTAGTCCCTCTACATAAGAATACAAGAATAGCCATTAAGAGTCAGACCAATGGTCCATCTATCCCAGTATCCCGATAGTGGCCAATGCCAGATGCCTCAAAGGGAATGAACAGGGAATCATCGGGTGATCCATCTCATCATCCAGTCCCAGCATGTGGCAGTCAGAAACTTAGGGACACCAAGAGCATAGAGTTGCATCACTCACCATCTTGGCTAATAGCCATTGATTGACTTATCCTTCATGAACCTATCTAAGTCTGTTTTGAATCCAGGTGTAGTTTTCATCTTCACAACATCCCCTGGCAACAAGTTCCACAGGTTCACTATGTGTTGCATGAAGAAGTACTTCCCTTGTTTTAAACCTGTTGCCTATTAATTTCATTGTGTGACACCTAGTTCTTGTGTTATGTGAAGGGATAAATAACACTTTCACTTTCTCCACACCATTCATGATTTTATAGACCTCCATCATATCCCCCCTCCATTGTCTCTTTTCCAAGCTGAATAGTCCTAATCCTTTTAATCTTTCCTCATGTGGAAGCTGTTCCATACCCTTAATAATTTTTGTTGCCCTTCTCTGTACCTTGTCCATTTCCAATATACCTTTTTAGAGATGGGGCGACCAAAATGGCACAGTATTCAAGGTTTGGGCATACCATGGATTTATAGAGTGACATTATGATATTTATTGTCTTATTATCTGTCCCTTTCCTGATATTCTATTAGCTCTTTTAACTGCAGCTGCCTACGGAGCAGATGTTTTCTGAGAGCTATCCACGACTCCAAGATCTTTCTTGAGGGATAACAGCTAATTTAGACTCCCATCATTTTGAATGTATAGTAGGGATTATATTTTTAATATGCATTACTTTGCATTTATCAATACAAAATTTCATCTCCTATTTTGTTCCCCAGTCAGCCAGTGTTATGAAACCCTTGTAACTCTTTGCAGTCTACTTTGGACTTAACGTTCTTGAGTAATTTTGTATCATCTGCAAACTTTGCCACCTCCTTGTTTATCCCTTTTTCCAGAATATTTATGAACATGTTCAATAGCACTGGTTCCAGTATAGATCCCTGGGGCGGGGGGATAGTTATTTATCTCTTTCCATTCTGAAAAGTGATCATTTATTCCTACCCTTTGTTTTCTGTCTTTTAACCAGTTACTGATCCATGAGGATCTTCCTTCTTATCCCATGACTGCTTAATGTCCCTCACCAAAGGCTCTTGTTAAAGGCCTTCTGAAAAACTAAGTACACTATATCCACTGGATTCCCCCTTGTCCACATGTTTGTTGACCCCACCCCTTCAAAGAATTCTAATAGATTATTGAGGCATGATTTCCCTTTACAAAAGCCATGCTGACTCTTCCCCAAAAATCATGTTCATCTATGTGTCTGGTAATTTTGTTCTTTACTAATACTATAGATTCAATGAATTTGCCTGGTACTGAAACTGGCTTACTGGGCTGTAATTGCCAAGATCGCCTCTGGAGCTTTTTTTATAAATTGGCATAATATTAGCTATCTTCCAGTCATCTGGTACAGAAGCTGATTTAAGTGATAGCTTACATACCACAATTAGTAGTTCTGCAATTTTGTATTTGAGTTCCTTCAGAACTCTTGGGTGAATATCATCTGGTCTTGGTGACTTATTTCTGTTTATCAATTTGCTCCAAAAACCTCATCCATTGACACCTCAATATAGGACAGTTCCTCAGATTTGTCACTTTAAAAGAATGACTCAGGTGTGGGAAGTCTCCCTCCCATCTTGGGCAGTGAAGACCAATGCAAAAAATTCATTTAGCTTCTCCACAATGGCCTTTTCTTTCTTGAGTGCTGCTTTAGCACCTTGATTGTCCAGTGGCCCCACTCATTGTTTGGCAGGCTTCTTGCTTCTGATGCCCGTAAAAAAGATGGTGTTAGTTTTTGAGTCTTTTGCTAGTTGCTCTTCAAATTCAGAGAGAACATAAGACTGACCAGGAGTGATGTTCCTGCTCAGACAGCTGCAAGAACCTCGCCACATGCTACAGGCAGTTGGAGATCTCAGGAGAAGCCTTAGCAGCACCAGAAGCTCTGTGGAGGACTGGAGAATTGATGCAAATGAAATAATGCCAGCTTTGTGAGGTACATCTTAGGTACAGAGTTTAGTAAGTTGTATGTGGCCTCCTTTTGATTTGCAGAGCTTAACTAAACATCTAGGTAAGGTGGATACGTATCAACAAACTGGAAGAGAGGGAAAACTTGAAAATAGAATTTTTAAAACACTGAAAAGTTGGGGGGTTTTAAAAATAGAAATACATTTAACATACATACTTTTCCCTCTTCCCACAATCAACCTTAATCATGATCTGTAAAGAATAATAAATTGGTCTTGGGTTCTTTTTATGATGTATAAAGGCAGGATTTTGTCCTTAAAATTTTGCTTGACTTAGTTTAGCTTTAGTCATTCAGGGTGGGTCCATCCTCATAGAATGTGTGGTGATTTGAAGAACACATGAAACATGAGATTGAGACTGGAAGTGGAGCATTTAAGAGGGGAAGGGATTTTGTGTCTGTTCAGAACTTTTGTTAAACCCTATTTAATTCCAATGCTTAATTGACAGAAAAAAGGATGTCTTGGTTAAAAAAAATCTGACATAGCCTTCAATTAAAGGCCTCCTGAAGTGCTAGGGAAAGCTTGTGGGGGGTCAGAGCATCAATACTGTTTTATAACAAAGCCAAGGAAAACTAAACTTGATACACCTAATTTTTTTAACCTTTTTTTTTAAAAGGCATCCTTTATGTTTAACAGCTCCTCCCTCCCATGCCAATTTAGCACCAAGCTTTAAGATAGCTAGCCGCTATAAGACTGATATCTATGTAACAAGGCAGATATGCATGATAGTAGTAACCAAGGGAGGTTTTTTTTTTAAAAAAATGCTCTTTTCTGCAACAGCTGTGCCGTTTTATACTAAGATGAAGCTTTAAGAGTATCTCACGCTGTGTCTACTACGCTGCTGCAATGTAACTGCTGGTGTATAAGATGCAGGATGAGTCTGTCACCCTACAGCAGGGAAATGTTCAGAACCATACAGTTGAGGGAGAAGTGGGCTGACAAATAGAGAACTGAAAGGGAAAGGAATGAAGCATAGCAGAAATATAGCAG